TCAGCTTAAATTAACAGACTAACCTGGTTCCCATTCTTCATCATCCTCATCTTCCTAATCTTTCCTTCTTCCCTCCCTCAACATTTTTCACCTTGTTTTATCATTATTATTGAGGAGAAAAATTATTCTCATCATTCGCATTCTACCGTAAAAATTCATTGCTCCGTATCAAAGGTAGTCAAAATGATACCAACAATGATACCTGTTTTCCTCCCAATAAACATTTTGGTTCAACACTTTAACACCTTAACCTTTAAAGATAAAACTGAATAACAGGGGAACACAAAAATGCCTTTTCTTGTCAAAAATCTTCCCAATCAACTCAGATGATGATGGGATCAAAAATTATTTCATCATTTATCTGGTTTAAATAATGTCAAGGATGAAAAAATTGCCATCAAAATTAACATTTAATCGCAACTTTGAGCTTTATTTTGTCAACTTTTTTTTCCTCTTCGCTTTGAATTTCCACTTTTTCAACTCTTTTGCTCTTTCATTGTTATTAACTTTTCTTATCCATTTGTACATTTATACTTGCAAAGATATTTATTGCAACTTTTTGACAAGATTAAAACATTTGATATTATTTTTTGATATAACATTTGACTGAATGGTTTTTGGTGAAAGATGAAGAGTGAAAGATGAAGAGTGAAAAGTAAAAAGGTCAACAATTGAGTTTACATTTAGTCTTGTTCAATTTTCACTTGCTTTTTTCCCTGTTATCTCACCATGAATGGCAAACTTTTCTGATTCTGATTGTAGATACAGAATGATGAGGCTGAGGGAAATACACTTTTAGACTCTTTCTATTGAAATATTGTATTGAACGATGAAGTAAAGTTGTCATCTCATTTCCTAAAGAAAACAAAAACATGAATCTGTTCTTGTTCAGGGGAAGAAGAAAAAATGAGCCCAAAGATTAGCTCAAATATACCTTACTTCATCATCACAATGTCATTCTCATCATTCTCATCATTTTCATCATTCTTCATCATACTTTATTAAAAATCTTTCTCTTCACATCAAATATCACAGAAAAGTTTCAATTGAAATGAAAGACTCACAAAACTGATTTAAACCATCATCATCATCATCATTATCATCTCTTTGCTCAACAGCGAGCTTGTATATTTTGTTAAACAAAGCCATTTCTATTGTTGTATTATATATATTTTTAGTATTATTACATAAAAAAGTGAGGGAAAAAATAACAACAAAAGATGAAAAAAGTAAAATATTTACTCAAATAGAAACATTGAAATTTGTTTACCTTTTCATTCTCATCTTTTTCTTTCTCTCATCAACGTTATTCTTTCATTTATTTCAATCTGTTGTTTCATCAACAACAAAAATCATCAACTTAATTTCATGAATTTTACTGCAAAAGTTCAAAATCTGCCTCATAATCATACAAGAATCGGCATCAGGTGAAGATTGAACTATCAGTTTTCTTGCCTGTTTCTTCTTATTCTTCTTCAAATCTTTTCAAATCTGAAAATTAAATGAACTGATGTAATACAACAACAATTGTTGAGTAATTTAATTTTCATCACAAGGGAACAACAACATCTCATCTTATACTGATAATCATCATTTGCCATCAAAAATTATCACATTTATACTTATTAAACTTGAAACGGATTTGAGCGTAAAATGCAAAATTAAAATGCGATGTTGTTGTTGCGGTTAACACAATATCAACATTTAATCTGATGGAATCATTTAATTTAATTAACTTGATTCTTGTAGGAGTGTTAACACTTGCAATTGTTATTAAACGAGTTAACAATGTAAACAATTTTATCTCAATGAAAAACTCCGTTCAAATGACATTAACCTTTCCTCATATTTTGTTATAAGGAAACAGTCAACAGCGAAAGTAAACTTGATAAGATTGAAAGTAAAATATGAAAATAAAACATTTACATATAATCTTTTTACATGTTTACATTAATTTAACATGTAAATTGTACACTTTATTTATGATAAGATGATGAAAAATCTTATTAATATATTTATCATCAAATCTAATCAGATAAAAAATTCATATTCAAGTTAGCAAAAGATGAACCAAGAAGAGAGAGAAATGTTTTCATTAATAGAAAACTTTATTTACCCGAAAATTCAATTTTTACCATTCACTTTGAACACTTTTACATGTTAAAGATGAACTTGATGGCTAGTATCATGATCGATATCATGTAAAGGATTGAAATTGTAATTAAAACTTGTCAACTCCCAGTGTTAATCAAAAATTGTAATGATAATTTCATGTTTCCAAGAGTAACATTGAAATGTTTCAAATGAGTGTTGATCAGTTTCTTGGATGATAAATAATCTAGATTTTTTTTGTTTATTTACTTCTTCTGTAAATTATTTGCCAAACCTTATTTCACCCAAAAACCAATAGTAATCATAATGATTACATAGTTGATTGTTATTGGTAAATCATTTTCTTGCTCTTCTACTTACCTGGATTACCTGGGCAAGCCCATGAAAATGTTCAAGTGTGAATTATCTTTCTCTTGTTTCACCATTTTTGGCCTTTATTGTCATTATCATTTACTGTTTCACCTCAAGGCTTATCTGCCTATAGATAAACATCTTAATATTTTTGAGTATTTTTACAGGGAAAATGGTTATAGGAACTAATCATTTTCACTTTTTTCTTAGTCTGTATGATAATGATGCTTCTGATGATGAGGCGGGAGAAAAGTATCAGCATTTAATAGAGTATGCAGTATCTTCCTTGTGGGAGGTTGAACACTTTTACCTGTTTCTTGCAAAATTTGATTGTCTTTTGTTGAGATGAAATAGCTTCAACAGTTTACAATCATTTAACCTGCTTGGTCAACATTGAATCAACTTGGCAAAGTCGGTGGTTAGGTTGCTCATGGGCTTGGCATTGGCCTCTTTAAACACTCCTTTTAGACTCTTTTTATATTGCCTTTTATTCAATTTGTTACTTCACTCATTATTCAATATTTAATTCTTGTGCCAATCTTAACCTTCCAAGTTTAATCATCCATGTACAGTGTTTTCAGATTGATTTTTACGTTGAACGACACTGAATAATGTTTGACTTAGATGTGAAAAATTTCTGCTTCTCATTCCGTCTTTTTGGTGGAAACTGAGCTCTTTTTTAGAGGAAATTTCGTGTTCAAATTTGTCCAAAGATGCAGCTAATATATCTTAAAGTGGACTCATCTGGGCAGACAACCCACACTGAATTACACGCTTCTCTGAGCACAACCATGTTTCTATCGAAATTTCCATTCTTCTTCTTTTTTCGTCTCTTTTTGTCTCTTTCTCATCTCTTTATCCTCACTTTGCTTCAATGATCACTTCTTTTGCTTGTTTTTCAATTTGTTCATCTTCTTCTTTCACCTTCATTTTCATCATCTTGATCTTGAAATATTTTTGGGTTCAGTTTTTTTTCAATGTCCATGAACAGGTCAATTTGTCTTTTTTATTAACCTGACCTTATTGTTGGTTGTTGGTTTATAATGTGTTTATTTGTCTATTGTTTAGTTTGAAACCTGATTCCGACTGAATGCTAATTGTTATTTTAATTGATTCCAATTGTATTATTATTGGTTGGATGGTCAATTGAAAGGAAAAGGGTCAATTATTAGATTAATTGAGGCAAACTTGAAGGAGAAGCGTGAAAGAGAAATTTGAATGTTGAACATTCAATTCAAATATCATGCAAAAAAGGCTGAAAAACTTCATGCAATTGTTAGTTAAATGGTTGGCGAAACATTTAGAGCTGTGAACAAAGAGTAAGGTAGAAGAGACAGCAATTTGGAAGGTAAAGACAAAAGTTTTGCCTTATCCCACTGGAGGGGGCTAATTGCAAAATTGAATGAAGGTGTTTTAATACAGTAAGGGCTGAGATAATGGGACTCTCTTGGAATAGCTTATTTACACTATTCGCCGGGCAACGTATTTTCATGATTTCAATCTTCCTTAATCGATCAAATTCAACAGAAATTAGTTTTTTAATCTGATTTCTAGAGTTTTTTGATTAATATCTCGCCAAATCAGATTAAAACAAAGTTTGAGGCTGAATTCGATCTAATAAGGAAGATTGAAAATCATGAATTTCACTGCCCGATGAATAGTGTAAATAAGCTATTTCTAGCGAGGTGCAGTTTCTCAATGGTGACTGTAAAGTAAAATTATAAAAATATTGTTAAATTAACCGCCGCAAAATAAACAAATTTGATTGAAGCAAAAGACTTTTTGCTAATTTTCTTGCAGTTTATGCCCTCCGGTGGGATAAGGCAGAACTTTTGCCTTTACCCTCCAAATTGCTGTCTCTTCCTACTTTACTCTTTGCAACACACTCAACCCATTCAATCTATCTGTATTTGGTTCTTTCAATGCTTTCTCAATCATCTCATTTTGCATAATTGCCCGTGTAAACAATAATTTAAGATTAAATATGACGAGAAAACGCTTTTATTGCGGTAAAATTTACTTCACAGTCATTGACAATGCATTAAAAATATGATTTGCAATTTTTTAAACACATCCATAAACAGGTTGTCGCTCAAAGTGTGTCTAAAAGGCATTTGTCTCGCTGGCAAACGTCTATCATCTTATTTAATCTTGCATATCAATAGGCCATTCAAACTATTAAAAAGTGTCACCGAGGTGGGTTGAGCGGAAAGAAGAGGTTGTCATTTTCACACTAAAAGTTAATTTAATGTTTTCAACCTCTTTTTTCCTGTAAATCTCAATGAACGTTGGTTGATCAATTGGTGATCTTTTTACTGGTGTTTTAGATCATCAGTTCCAACTGATTTTGTTATTTTCACTTGAACATTTTTAAAGAGAACACAAAATTTTCATTCGATTACAAGATTGATGAGATTTGGTTTGATTGGCCAAGCTTTTCAGTAGAACAGTTTTGCTTTCAAATTTTCCTAAACTTAATTTTTTTCAAACTGATGAGCTAATTTTTCCTTTTCTCCATTCTTGTCTATTCTGTTTAGAATCAAGCAATCCTGGTGATGCTTATGGTTATGGTGGTCCAGCATCACACCATAGTCCAGGGTTTTATGAATACATTAACCAAGGGCCTGCTAATGGTGAAACCAATCCCGATTTAAACCAATTTCCCGGTATGTTTAACCCAACAGGACCAGATAATTTTTCAGGATCCCAACCACCTCCTGGTATTCATGAGACTGGCTCAGTTCTTAGACCGTCAGGTGAGCTTTTCCTTCTCTTCTTCTTGCTAATTTATTGCAATTAATCAAACTGGATTAGATTTTTAATTCTAACTCGTCTTTTCTCTTCATTCTTTAGGTTTACCTTTTGGATCACTGGGTCCAACTGGTGGTCCTGATGGTCATCCAAGTAGTCATGGTTCAGCTTCTGGAAACCTTGAGTTTATATCCTAAAGCTAATGAAAAGTGACTTGTAATTTTTTGTCCTCCCTTTCATTTCATATCCTCGACTCATGATTAAACTTTCATCTCATTTACATTTAAATCACAAAGATGATGAAGTTTTAAACAATCAAGTCTAATTGTTGTCACCCATTTGACTGGACCAGTCGATCACCTTTTAGTTGATTTTGTTACCATGGGAATATCAAAAGAACCAGAAGGAAAACACAAACCTGAATCAAACAAAATGAAATTCACACAAATTTAACCCGGATAATCTGGTTGTTTATCGATATGATGGATAATGAATTTCTTTTAAATACTTATGACTATGTTAATCTTACCTGATAACTTAACTTAATAAAAAATGATGACGATTGTAATAAAACTCACTCAAACACATATTAAACATATTCAACTGTTTAAATTTGTCAAACAAAAGTTATTTGTAAATAATAAAGAAAAGAGAGTTGAATAGTTAAAGAGATAAATGTTCATTATTGTGATAAAAGAATATAATTGAAACAAAATCAATACTTAATAGATAATAATAATAAGGTAATAATTGCATTTAATATCTAATATATTAAGCAGCATCTAAATGCAGTGAGCATCATGTAAACAGTCCAACAGAGTACCTATTGTCCAGGCTTGAGTTTCACAACTATCAGGGCAGTGTTTTCCGTCTGAATTTGTCAATTCAGGAAGACCAAACCACGGACTTTTCTCGATGGCAACAGCATGATGGGACAAATTTTTCAGCATTTTATTTGCTATGGCACTTTTGTCATTGTTGTGTTTATAGTAGGCGCGGTAAAAGTATCCCACTGGCCAAAGCCATTCTGGTCCTTGATGGTAATTGAAACCATGAGCGACTTTGGGATCATCGGAATCATCAGAGTTGAAATAATCTCCTCTGTAATTCCAATCACTTGGATCAAGGGTCTTTATTCCAAGTGGACCAAGTAAAATATTTTCAGCCATTTCTAGAGCTTTAACAGCACGAGATCTTGTAAATAGTTCTGGTGCAACTGTCATGGCAATTAAAAAGTTGGGTCTCAATTGAAAATCTTGCCAGGTATGGGTAGCTCCAACTGAATCTTTGTAAATTTCTCGACGATTAACTAATGGGTCAACTGAATCTGGCGGAATCCAAAACTTATTTTCAAAATTGGCATGAATCTTTTCAGACCACTCTTTCCAAGTCCAGTTCACAACTGAAGATGAAACACAATCGTGTGGATATTTACCAAGACTCCACATTTCATCCAGCCAGGTAACAATGGATTTACAAAGTCCGACAAGCTCGATAGCTGAACCATCTCGAGGTGTTGCTGGTTTACCACGATTTCCAGCTTTATCAGAGGAACCCATTTTATCCATCCAAGTTCCACAGTTCCATTCATTACCACCATAAACGAAACCTGTTTCTTTATTGATGCCTACTTTTATGTTGAAGCCTTCAGAGGTCATGTGTTGATCTATATTTTGTCCGGCATTTCGTTCTCTGAACTCAATTCCTTCGAAATGTTTATCAAGTGCTTCTTGCATTACTTTATGAAGAGGCTGGATATGGCTTTCAGTTAACAAAGCTACTGAATCATCTTCAGGGAAAATTCGATTAACGGGTTCATTAAAAATAGCATAACCTCCAGGGACGAATTGACAATAATCTTTAATGGCTTGAAGCCACCACCAGACTGCATCTCTGCAATTATAACGAGCATTTGTTGCTTTATCGAGTAAATTTGGTATTAATCCATGTCTAAGAGCTCCAGCAAATCCTAAAATAATGTATCGAGCTTCGTTGAATCGACCGGGGATCAGAAGAATACCTCTAAAAGCGATGAAAGTATCACGGCCCCAATTTCGCATATAGCCTGAAGCAAAGTGAGGTAATCCTGCAGCAATGGTAGGAACTTGAGGTCGGGGTATACCACCGAGGACAACAATTTGAGGTTTGGGCTCAGAAATATCTGATGAAAGAGGTGGAAGAGGTGAAGTTTGGTTGAATCCTATTAAAGCAATACTTCCAAAAATAAGTGATTTCGTGAAAGTGGTTGGATCAACAATTGTATCAGCAACTGATTGGAAACATTTCTGTACTGTCAACAGGTAGACAGGTGTAATAATAGTGTCAAAGTAACGTGGCCGTAAGGATTTGGGAATATCTTTCAACAAATCAAAAGCTTTGCGGAACCAATTAGATAGTGGAGTGGTTGATTGCCTTTTATTTAAACGATTGACAATGTAATCAGGCAACCACAGACCCTCTCGAAGATTGTTGCAAATAGGATGGCCAAGATCGTTGTTAGATCTTATGTCTTTCCAATAAAACATAAGACCTGCGAGCCCACAGTAGCGAAGATCAGTAAAATTAGGAACGCTGTAGACAGCCCCATGAAACTCATCAAATTCTTCCTGATTGTTACGAAAGAGGACGAAATTAAGATCATCCAGACTCAATTTTTGCAACAGGTAGATGAGCTCTTCTTTAGATTGAGCCAAGCTTTTCAATTCATTCAAAGCATTGATGTGTTTTGCCTCTAAAGAGACATCAAAACAAACCACCGAGCCTGGAGGAAATTGATTGAAATGTACGGTGTTGCTTCCATCATTTGATTCAATTTTGACCATGGCACTTTCAGCGAGCCTGATATTTTGTTTAATATCTGCTTTCATGTTTTTCAGGCCATTTAAATAATGACTATTTTTGTGAAATTCTTCATGGCCACCTTCTAATTTAGCTTCAAACAGAATTTTGTTGAAATAACCAGCAACTTGTAGTGGTTGAATATACCCTGTATCCCATGGTTTATCAGGTTTGCTGAAACTTGTTCGAGCAACAAGAATAATTGATTTGTGATTAACTGGATTGTGTCGGGTGATAGCAACAACGTCATAATTTACTTGATCAACAAAAATTTCTGAGTAACCTTCAACAGAAAGTTTCTTGTGCAACTCGTTTATTACTTTTTTGCCAAGAATTATTCCACTTGAGGATGAAACATGTTCATGACCACTGGAGTCGGTCCAGAATGCATAGGGACGCCATTCGTCGACAACATGGATATGATGAGGAATAAATTCATCATAACCTCGATTGGAACCGATTGCTGAGGCAGACATTGCAATCAAACTTGAAGAAGCAAGATAGTCAAAGACGGAACGTTTTTGAATTGGGCACTCGTTATCATGTGTCATATCGAATAAAATTGCATGCGACATCGAAGGCAACAAAGGTGTTGGATTGAGTTTCTCGAATGCTCCAACAGGTTCACCACCATATCGATGAATGAATCGACCCAACTCATGAGAGTCAGGAGCAGCCAATGATTCCCTAATCAATGAATTTATACCAAGATGGTTGATGAAAACATTATCAACCTCTTCAGATGAGGTGAAAAGTTCTGCTATTACATAAAGATTAGGTTTCTTTTTTCTCGCAGCATCCAACAAATACTCTGCAACATGAATAGGTGTTGAATGGCAATTATCCAGACGAAAACCATGAAATATTTCAGCTGAATCTTCAACATACTTTCTCATATGACCCCAGAGAAAAGGACTATCTTTTACACTTCCACCATATCGTAGTTTAACAGAATCGCCCCAAGCGATCAGTTCTCTTTTCAAGTAGACATCTGAGTCTGCATCAGCAAAATTCTTTAAAGGGTCCCATCCCATGACCCATCCATTGTGGGCAAAGAAGAAACAACACATTTTGTCATCAAACATGGCCTTTTCCTCATCTTCCAACGATTGTCTCTCTGGCCCATAAGTTGTGAAATATGGTGTGACCAAAGGGTCAGTTCTGGATATGAATCGTTTTCTTGGACCATTTGGGTCTACTCTTTCGTACCTGATTTGTGCAATTGTGTTGTTGATTGCAGCACATAAATGACCATTTACACGTTTTTTGATTTTTTCATTTAGCTGCATCGCAAGTGGTCTTAAAAGTTGCACCCGTTCTTCGACAAGATCTTTAGTGATTGCACTGCGGGTTACGTCCCATGCAACCGTATTCATGGCTGAAACCACGTCGACTTTGGACCTCTTTCGTCTAAATTTAGTGTCTTGAATAAAGATTGGTTCAGAAGATGCCGCTGTAGTTTTTTGATGGTAAATGGTGCATTGAGCGATCTGGATAAGGTAGTTCCTCAGGTCTTCAACTATTTTATCATCACTGATCATAAAGAATTCTTCCAATTTGATTTTGGGTAGGTAATTCTCCCAGATAATCCTTTCAATAACGTTTAAATGAGTTTCACTGTTAACTTCACATGTTAACCCTTGATCTGACCACTTTCCGGCAATAATATCCAACGAAAAATGCCAAAGCATTCTATCTAACAAATAGGCTGGTCTCAAATGCGGTGAATTTTTCAAATTGTAACAACTTTCTGGATGTTCGAAAATCCATTCACTTTCATTAGCTGTATGATTTAACACAATATCAGTTATTGATAAAATTGACCATTCTTTTCTCATAAATTCAACAAGATGACCCACATCGTCAAAACTATATTCAGGGCTATGCTGATTGTGGCTGAACTTTGGATTCAAGACGAGTTGATCCTTGATGCAGTAGCATGATTGTGACCCTCCAAGAGCTTGAATGGGTGAAAAATGAATCATATTATAACCACAGTTTTTCGTGACTGAAAGTCTTCCTTGCCAGGTGTCAAAAGTTCCAAGAAGTTTGCTCAGATACGTTTGGCAGGCGATCGAATCGAGAGCCACTACCTGTCCATCTTCAGAGCCCACTACAAGACGAGGTTGCACCAAAAAATAACCAGAACAATTGATGCGAGCTTCTTCATCGTCTTCACTGTCCAAAAAGTATTTGAAAGTTCCTGGCAGGGTTAATTTCAAATATAAGCCAGAGTCTTTTTCTGTCCATTTGTGGTGACGGAATTTTCCTCGGACGAACTTGTCTTCAGGATAATCACAGTAAAATCTGGCGCGAACACCTAATAAACTGGGCCCCAGGCAAACTTTGATCACAGAACCTGAATAAAACAAAACAAAAAGGGTTAAAAACAGAAAAAACGAGAAAAAACGAGAAAAAAACCACTTACCTTGAGGAATCCTAAATAATTGATTTTCATTGTTCTGCTTGATTTCCAATCGCAGAACTTTCAGGATTGGTTCATCACGGTTAACAGGTGGTTCCATAACTGGAGCAGGTAATTCCTTAGCAGTTCCGAAAATCCGGTTGAAAATTGATCGGGTGAAACTGTGATGAAAATTGGAAAAAAAACAAAGTCACATCAGTCACCTGAAGATGAAATTTAACTTACAATGCCATCTGTAGTAAGCATTCCATTCAACAGTTGCGATGAAAGATGGAGACACCTTGCCACCTTGTGTCATCGAGATTCGTTCAGTGCAGAGAGAGAGGGAGAGAGAGAAAGGGAAAAAAGATGAGGAGATATTTGAAATAGAAATTTCTCAATTGTTGATGTTTGTTAGTCTCAAGAAATCTTGTTTTGTTGGGTTTTTGTTCCTGTGAACTACCGATATTTACTTTTGCAGTCAACACGATCTTTACCAATGGATTTAAGAGCTGATTTTTATAGAGTAGAGCTGAATCGAACCCTCTGGGAAATTCCAATAAAATACACCAAACTATCACCCATCGGTTCTGGAGCCTACGGTCAAGTCTGGTAAGATTTTGAAATCATTTTGTCCTCACTTTTTGTTGCCCTACTTCTTGCATGATCTCTACTTGTTTACTCTCATTTCAATCATTTTATGTTTCTTTTTCTCTCATTCTGTTTATAGTGCAGCTGATGACATTGCATTTAGCCGACGAGTTGCTATAAAAAAGCTTGCTCGTCCTTTTCAATCGGCAATCCATGCAAAGCGAACATATCGAGAATTCAAGTTACTCAAACACATGGAACATGAGAACGTTATTGGTTTATTGGATGCTTTTACTCCAACGACTACTTTTGACAGGTTTCAAGATATGTACTTGGTTACTCATTTGATGGGTGCTGATTTAAATTCAATCATAAGAACGCAAACTTTAACTGATGATCACGTCCAGTTTCTGGTTTATCAAATTCTCAGAGCTCTTAAGTACATCCATTCAGCTGGAATAATACACCGGGTAAATAAATTACTTATTTTAAGTGTATTTAACTTATATTTAACTTTCTCCTCAACTAGATTACAGGTTATCCCTTTTCCTAGAATTTAAAATGTTTACAGTTTCTCATTAAAGAGAGAAAGATAAGTGAACAAGTCACTTTTCTACTGATGAGATGAACATGTTAATTTTTCTGGATTCAAGCCAGTCCTGCCAAAAACTATTCCAACTTTTTTCCTTTCAAATCTAATGACAGAATTGATTCAATCCTTATTAGTATCAATATTTATTCTCATCGACATTCCTCGATTAGCAAGTTGATGAAAATATAATAAGATTCCCTGTTAAGGTGGTCTTCTGTGTTGCAAATGCTTTCTTGTTGTAAATAATTGATTCTTTTTATTAATCTTGTGCTTTCTTTTTTTTGCAGGATCTGAAACCAAGCAATATCGCTGTCAATGAGGACTGTGAACTTAAAATTTTAGATTTCGGGCTAGCTCGACATACTGAAGCAGAAATGACTGGTTATGTAGCGACTCGCTGGTACAGAGCCCCAGAGATCATGTTAAACTGGATGCATTACAACCAGACTGTTGATATTTGGTCTGTTGGCTGTATAATGGCTGAATTAATCACAAGTCGAACACTTTTTCCTGGTACCGATCGTAAGTATCAATCTACAAATTGCGACAAAATTTTCTGTTTCGATCCAAAATTGCAATTCTTTTATATGAGTTAATCAAAACTCATCAGAACAAAAAGTTTGCTAGCTTCTTCCAAATTTAAATTTTCCTTGTGTTCCTTGTTGACTCTTTTTATAACCACGATTTATTTTAAGCCTTTCTTGAATACATTTTTGATTTTCTTTTTGTTTCAACAACCAACTTATGTTCAATAAATTTTAACATAGTTGAGCCTAAACCTTGAAAAATGTTTATTAGCTTCTTCAGTAATCCATTCAAGGCCGCTTCTGTTTTTTCATTTTTCTTATGATTTTATGATAAGCAAACAAAACTTGATTTTTCGAGTGAGAAAATTTCAGTAATAATTAACATCGCTGTTGATTTCTTATAGCCTATCAACTAATTATGTAGTTAAATGAATGTAACTTCTTGTTCTCCAAATGAAATGTTTATTCTTAGTGAATTAAATTGATAACTCTTTAATTCATTTCTCATTTCCATTCTTAACTGGAAATGGTTTCTCAGGCGTTACTCATACTTGTTTTCATTGAATTAAAAAATTGCAACATCAATTAATTCTATTCTCTGACGTATCTAATGTGATAAATTTCATTTTCTTCCAGATATTGACCAATTATTAAGAATCATGGCAGTTTGTGGAACCCCAGACGACGAATTCATGAAAAAAATAACCAGTGAAGAAGCCAGACGTTACATAGCAACTCTACCCAAAATGCCCAAAAGAAACTTCACCGATATTTTCAAAGGCATCAATCCAAAAGGTTTTTATAGATTCCATTTTGTTAGCGATGCAACAATTTGTTAGTTATTTAATGATAATCCTTTTTATCTTCTTCTTTTTAAGCGATTGACCTTTTGGAAAAAATGTTGGCCCTTGATGCTGATCGTCGTCCAACAGCTGAACAAGCCTTAGCTCATCCTTATTTAGCTCAATTTGCTGATCCTAGTGATGAACCGATTGCCAAACCTTTCGATGATTCTTGGGAAGAACGTGATATGCCTCTTGAAGAATGGAAAAGTATGTTGATGCAACATTTCCAGTTTATCTCTCACAATAAAAATGGTTAATTTAATCACTAATGCTTGATTTTAATCTTGTTTTTTTTTCTCTTGACCATGACAGAATTAGTTTATGACGAAATGGTTCGATTTGTGCCAAGAAGTTGATACTCATTTACAAAATCATTTTCATCACCATAATCATCATTGTATTCATTATTATTATTTTATCACTGGTGTTATGACGAGCATGATGAACATTGGATGAACAATAATCCAATAACGATTAATATGTCAGATATTTTTATCATCACCACCCATGACGCTGTTTATTTCCTTTCTATACAGCCGTACTTAATTATTCTCCTTTCTTTATCTCGAAAACTCTTGTAAGATTTTAATTTGTACATTATCTGATTAATTAATCATGTTTAGACAATTTGTGCAATTAAATTTTGAATTTTTATCCTCATGACCAACCATCATATCTGTAATTCTTTCCGCTTTCAACGATTGTTAATGTTTTTCAATTTAAGATAAAACCTTACTTTTGGACTTTACCACAATAATTTTGAATAAACATTTACTTCTCAAAATGCAATTCAATTTGTTTATCAAACTCAGTGTTAATTTTAATTATTGATTTTTCATTGGAACCAGAATGGCTATTTTCACTTTTTTGCTCTGTGAATAACTTGGTGTCTAAATAAACAGCTGGTTACTTCTGTTATCTTCTGTCAATTTCTGTTATTGTTTTGGTTTGGTAACAGTTACTTTGCCAAATTTTGTCTCATCATTAAATATTAATTAATTATTCATCACTTTTCAATCGAATACATTTTGATTAAATCTATTTTCTTCATTGGTTCATTCAGCATTGTTTATGAGGTGAGTTTCATTCTATTTTCGAGCTAATCTATTCTGTTTTATGTAATAGTCACTATCATTGTCTATTCTCTTCATGGTATTTTAGGTCTATTAATCATTGTTTTTATAAATTATTCATTGATCTCTATTTGCTATTTATTTTATCTTTATTGCTATTGTTAAGTCTTTACTTTCATCTTTTAGATTTATAGTTGAATTCCAGTCTTCATTTTTATAGATCTTTTGTTTGATCATCAGACAATGTCATTTTGAACTGACCCGTTTTGCCAATATTAATGTCCTTGAATATTTTTCTATCTCTTTTTCCCTCTAGAAACGATGAGTAATCCTACTTCAGTAAGTAATATTTTTTTATCTTACCACCAAATAGTTTTGTTATACATGTTATACATGATATTAATTATAATTTTATTTTGTTTTGTTTTGTAGACTCCACCAAAAAGTTTGGAAACTTGTCTTCAAGGATGGAGATGCATTCTTGTTCAGGCTTATCCTGTCTTCACTTGGGATAAACCATATTACCCTTATATTCTGAGCGCGATTGTTGCCATAGTTTTTCTGTAAGTAAATTTATCCATGGATTGATATTCATTTTCATGGAACTTCATATTTAATTGAGCTTTTTTTCTTATTATAGCATAATATGGCTATCCAATGCAACAATTCTGACTACATTCTCAATAATTGGACTAATAATTACCGTCGCAGACTATGTGATCCCTATGATCTCTACACATTATTTGGAACCTCGCTTTTGGTATGCATTGATTTTTTATTTACTTTTTTGGCAATTTTATTAACTTTTGTACTAAATTGACGTTTCTCATTATTATTTTTAATAACAGGAAAGATTCAGATGAAGAGCAATACAAGAAGATCGTATCTCAAATCTCGCAAGGAAGTCAAACAATCTCAAGTTTCTTCAACTACCTAAAAGATCTCAAAAGTTCAAATTCAAAAATATTTTTCCCCATACTCTTCGTTTCTCTAAGTTTATCTGCTTGGATTGGCAATCTAGTCAACAACCTATTTCTCACTTTTTTGATGATTAACTCAATTGTCCTTTTACCTGGTCTTCGACATCATGGTTATATTGAAAAGGCTCACGAGCAAACAAGAGGAGTCTTATCAAAAGTGTTTGGCCAAAAGAAAAAAGACTAAAAGATTTAAAAACCAAAGCAACAAAAATACAAGACCACAAAAGACAAATTAAGCTTGATATATTCAGTGTTCATTGTAATTTTGAATCTATTATTAACTCGGACAAAGCATCACCGATCACAATGTTTATAAGGTATAAATTGAGTTAAAGGAAAATATAATCACAAATCTTGGTTTCGCTATGTTAAACTCTAGTTTCCATCAATTCAACCAATGTACTCATTAATCTTATCCATAAAATCGACTCCAAGAATCATGATCTCCAAGAAAATGGATTTACCAGAAATTCTCATCAGTTATCAAGTCACCGTTCATCATTCAACGAAAAAAAAACAATTTTAGCCAATGTTAGCATATTCTGGTCTAATTGAAAGTTACTTCAATTCATACTGTTCGTTTCTCTTCATATGCAAAGAAAGGAAGTATATTTAAACAGGATTGTTTGTGTCAAAATATCTTTTTCATTTGAATGTTCAGAACTCTCTATACAGGGTGCTCTGCATTAACATTTTTTGAAAAGCTGCCATCTTCAGAATACCTTTGATTCCACAATCACATTCTCATTTCCCTGCATGCTATTCTAACTACTGCTTAAAATCATATACTCAGAAGAAAATCAATTCTGAAAATAACATCTTTCTCCTGTTTTCATAACTTCTCACCTGTAAATTACATTATGCATGTAGCTGAAATCTTTATTAGCTCTACTTTTTAACAGATTAGTTTATGTTTACTTTTGCGACGTTTTTTTCATCAGATTTTTGTCCCCTTATAAAGGATTAATCATCAGATGGCGCAACATTTTTTTACTGACATAAATCAAAAGCTCTGCTTTAACAGGTTATCTGTAATAATTAATCTCTAAACCTGGAAACTAAAATATCTACAAGTATGTACTGAAAAATGTATCTTTATTTTGATTTTGTTGTAATTTTTCTTTGTTCTTTTGTTTTGTTCATGATTACCCTGTAACTTAAGGAATTAATTTACCGAGTACATTAGCTCAACAAAAAGCGAAAAAAAGTTTTTTCTCTTGATCATTTGCCAAACTTGATTTAGTCTTGACTTAAACCCAATTTTGTTTCCTCTTTGCTCATACTCTTTTTACACAGACTTACTATTCGTCTGTTATCCATTTACCACAAAAATAAATTCTAATCATCACCAAGAAACACAACCTTTAAATGTAATCTTTAACTCTCACAATTAAATCAGTGTCAATCCAAAAAAAGCAACGTTTTAAAATTATTAAATATACCTATCCTTCGATATTCCTTTGATACCTTTTCTCTTGTTTTTACACACATCATTGTTCTACGACCATTTTTTAATACATCTGTTTTGCTGTTTACTCATAGGTGAATTCATCTTTTACGGTGAGTTATATTGAAGCATAATCTCAACGACTGGTGCAGTCTATCTCACCTTGTACCATTGTTTTAACCATTGGATCTATACGAGCAACCATCTAACGTATTGCTGTTTGCTAGCTTGGTGTTTTCATTTTTTTCTCAAGTGGCCTCGTTTTATTTTCTTAATCCAGTTGATTGTTCACTGTTTGACTTTTAGCTGTTTCTTAACCTATCCATAATTTTTGTAAGATTTATATTGATTTAGTTGTTGCTTCTCTCACCTTCTATCTAGCCCAAAAGAATGAGTGACACAGAATTGGTAAGTTAACGTTTCGTGTTATCACATTAGTAATAAATTTAACAGATAAATTTGGTTTCTCCATACCTTAGGCTCAACCAGAAAGCTTGGAAACTTGTCTATCCAACTGGAGATGTGTCCTAGTTCAAGCTTATCCCGTTATAACATGGGATAAACCTTTTTACCCTTACATTCTTAGTGCCTTAGTTGCATTAATTTTTCTGTAAGTTGTGCCTACTATTGCTTGTGTATGCAATTATATTTCAACTCAAATTTCTTCTGTCTATCTCAGAGTCATCTGGCTGTCCAATGCAACCATAATGACAACATTCTCAATCATTGGACTAATTTTAACAATTGCAGATTATGTGGTCCCCATTATCTCAACCCACTACTTGGAACCTCGTTTTTGGTAAGATAATCTTTATCCACTCTAAATAAGCACCAGGACTATTCAAGTGTTCAATTTATTAATTTGTATCTATATTCTTCTCTTTGTATTTTAGGCAAGATTCAGATGAAGAGAAATACAAGAAGATCGTATCTCAAATCTCACAAGGAAGTCAAACAATCTCAAGTTTCTTCACCTACCTAAAAGATCTCAAAAGTTCAAATTCAAAAATATTTTTCCCCATACTCTTCGTCTCTCTATGTTTATCTGCATGGATTGGAAATCTAGTCAACAATCTCTTTCTTACCTTTTTGATGGTTAATTTTATTGTACTTTTGCCTGGCCTCCGACTTCATGGTTATATTGACAGAGCACATGAGCAAATTCAAGGAATCTTTGCCAAAATTTTCGGACAAAAGAAGAAAGACTAGAATTGAAACGATAAAAAAAGACTTAACAAAATAATTAATGAATGATCTACATTGAAATGTTACCAAAAGTTTCCAACTCAGTGCCAATTTCTGATTAATGTCAAACTGGTCCATTTAAATCCCAAGTCAAATGTGTCATCTAATATGATCGCACTTTAAATCTATGTACGATGGCTATTAAGTTACTTTTGAGATCTTTCATTGTATCGCCCATTCTCCCTAATTTGATTATTTCATCCATCCAAACAAAGAACCACTGGTCATATTGTTTATAAACGTAATTCAGAATCCATCCACTTTTGTGGTGAAATATGTTTTAAATTTGTCTCAATCTTTTCTTTCACCCCTGTCCACCGTTGTCTAGATTATATTTTAATGGGGAAATATTGAAATAATTAGCCTTAAAGAGCGCATTTATATTATCTTGTGATCCATAGATTTTTTTTAAAATTAACGGATTATCTGAATTACTCGGTAAAATATGTTAAAATCCTTTTGTCCATCTGACAAGAATATTAAGAGTAAATTGTTAATATTTTTCTTTTGAATGTTGATTTGGCTTGATTTTGAATAAAATTACAATGTTAAAAAATACCAACAAAGGCGGCTCAACAGGTTTCTGGGTTATTGATAAATTGGAACCTAAAATCATCAATACAATAGATGGTTAAATAGGCTGCTAACACCTTTCATCAAAGATAGACATGAATTACCAGAAATTATTACATCTTCAATATTAAACTCACCTTCAAGTATTTTCCCAGATGAACTACTCAAACTAGTAACTTGATTGTCAATCAACTTATTGATCAATTGAATTTAGTAACCGTTGGTGATAATTTCATCATCATTGCTGAAGCTAAACCTAATAACATTACATCATTTCTGAATTTAATCGCCTCATTGTTTCAGTTCAACAACGAACCAAGGATCTTAAGATCTCTAGAAACGACTGAAAGCTGATTCTTTGTCAGTTCTGTATTTTTTGTCTGATTGAATTAAGATTAAAAAACCGTTAGTTGAAAATAAGGGAACGACATAAGCTCCATCTGATGTTTTCAAATGTACCTTTTCTGGTTTTTGGGTTATTTGGTTGATTAGAATCATCAAGGATACAATCCACTAAAGAGATTAACTGTTTTGAAAACTGAACAATGAATATTGCCACTTTAAACATGAAACTGAGACAATAAATAAGATAATTAGCAATGGGTACACAATAATAACACCCAACATGATGAAATGTCGAGTTCAATTTTTATAGTGTTTTTATTTTACCCAATTTTATTACAATGCGATTTGATAACAAATCGTAGCTCTTTGGCTTTTAAAAATACAAAATAAGATCAGCATATGATCAGAACGAGTTGAAACACATGAACAAAGTATGAGAATATCCTGAGTTTATGCAATAATGAACAGACTAAATTAAAACATGATCAATGGATTGAATAATCAACACTTGAAGCTTATCAAAATGAAAAGGATTAAAGAGCAATAACTATTGAACTAGGTTAATATATTGGCAAATATGATTATTTAACTAAATGTGACTGTGAATATTAACGTATATGAAATAAAAGGACATTAAAGCAATTAAAATTAATTTATCAATTAAATAATTTCATTACTCGATATATGAATTTCTCGGTTGTTCTTGAAAGACACAATTAACAAAACTATCGCATTTATGCACAACTTTGATACAAATTGGCAAAACAATGAAAAAATGGGCATAAATGGGTAATAATTAACGTCTTGCAAATTAAGGTTCGAAAGGGGCGAAAATCGAGTTTAAAGTTGAAGCTTCGATCGATTTTTGTACGAAAATGGAGGCAGATTTTTTTATCAAACTCATTTAAGTGATGTAAATTTTTGACTATCAACCAGAAAATGTACTTATTTTGAGAAATAAAACCTTTCTTTTTCTGTAAAACCGATTAGTGTGATTTTCGGTCAAACCGACCGTGTTCTATACTTTTCTTTTTCTGTAAAACCGATTGGTGTGATTTTCGGTCAAACCGACCGTGTTCTATGACCTTTAGAGTTAGTGAGCTGAAACTCATTATATGCCCATAAAAATTGTTGATTCACATCATGGATCCAAAACTTTTTTCAATTTACTATCAGTTCTCTTGATTTTGACCATTGGCCTTAAAACTTTGAACCTCGATATTTTGGTAATGGCATAACCTAAAATCATCATTCTTGGCTAAATATTAGATCCAATTATGAGTTATAATATACTGAAACATTAAACAGTTCAAGATCTTGCGAAAAAAGTTATAGCATTTAGATACTTTTGTTTTCAAACTGCCTTATGTTTTGAGAATTGAGTTTTGAACAAAAACAAAACAAAAATCTTATGCGTTAGAAGGATCTAAATTTTATTCAGTAATCAGTCATGAATTATTATAGCCCATAATAATATCTAATGACAAGTGAAAGAATGATGATTTTGTCAGATGCCATTCTCAAAATATCGAGGTTCAAAAGTTTTAAGGCTAGTTCTAGACTTTTGATTCATAATTGGCATTATGCTGAACTGATTTGCGATGATAATAGCTTTCCAATTACCCTGAGATCAATAGAAATACCTGAACGATCTTCTTTTGCAAAGAATCATCTATTTATTCCATTTAAGTTAGGCCAAAAGGCGTTTATAATTAAACTATTACTTTAGTTGTTGCTAAAAAAGACACAAACAACACAATTGTTGCATTTAAGCAAAAAATTGACAAAAATTGACAAAACAAAGAAAGTTTAATGGGCAAAAACGAGTAATAATTAACTTTTTGCAAATTTAGATTCTGTTAGTTTGTAGAGAATTAAAAACTGCATCCATTTGTCCTATTAAAATATTTCTCTGATCTACACTTTTCGAAGAAATCGCGATCAAATTTGAAACTTCGATCGCCATTTGTACAAAAATGGAAGCAGATTTTTTTATGAAACTTATTTTGCAGATGCGATTTGTGATTACTAACCAGAAAATGAACTTATATTTTGAATTAAAATTTTCTGTTTCTGTACAACTTCGATTCTTCGATTTTCAGTTAAACTGGCCTTTTTCTGTGACCTTTGAAGTTAGAGGTCTGAAACTTATTATGAGTCTATGAAAATCATTTGTTCACGTCATGAATCTAATACTTTTTTCAATTCAATATCAGTTCTCCTGATTTTGGCCATTGGACTGAAAAGTTTGAACCTCGATATTTCGAGAATGGCATATGACACAATCATCATTCTTAGCCAAAACATTAGATATTTATTTATGGGCTA